TGGCTTTTAGTTCACGGATATACCATGAGGTCAACAGGATTTATATTACTGCATTATTTTTTAAATGTATCTTTTCTAAGTGCATATATTTATGTTCTGGAGTTATATAAAGTTTATACATTCACTCATATGCATTTTCTTTTCTTTTTCTAGTTGACGTCTGTGAAAAATGAAGAGTAACTTAGATAAAAAGAATACAGGACATCAAGTATCTATCAGTTTGTTTAACAAGTTTTTATATGAGCAAACAACAGTAAGACAGTTATTTAGCCATTTTACTTGAGTTCATATGGACAATATGCTTCTTGTTTTCCCTTGAGCACGACTGTATTGATATATATCACCAAATTCTATACAATTTGTATAGACTTTGCAAGTGTAGATGAAAGATATTATTGATAAAAAAAAAATCAGTGCATGTTTAAGTGGAAATCTTATTATGGTTGTACTGTTTTACTGAAGATACATGCAATTTTAATAAAGTCTATGATTACAGCATTGGTCTAAATTTATCAAAAAGTAGGGTCATGCTCTTGTTAGGTTACTATAAGAACTTTTTCCTCTTCTTTTCTTTTTTTCTTCTTTCATATACCACTGCAGTACACAGTTCAGAATTTCAAAGGCAAAAAAATTATTTAAGTACCTTTAGTTATTATTTATGTATGTGTAATTATACATTTATTTACATGTCCATCTCTCTCTTGCATTTACTTAGGCCCTGTCCCTCCCTCCAGCTCCTCTTGCATTATTTATGAAGCACAAAAATCCAGATACAGCAAATTTAAGGCAGTCATGTTAGGTGAATTCCCCCCCGCCCTTTCTTTCTTTCTTTCTTTCTTTCTCTCTCTTTTAAGGAGACTTTATTGATAAGAGATGATTCAGAAAACAATTCAGGGATGTATAGTATTACCCTTCGGTCATTTACTTTTCTTCTTCTTCTTCTTCTTCTATTAGCAGTGTCGGGTTTATTGACAAGTTGAAAACCGCACCATGATCTTTGTTTAGCAATGGATGAGCCAGAAGTAGCCATCATGTGACAATAATTCTTGTTTCAGTGGCATTCATCATTAAGTCTTTTTGTCACTAAATTTAATTTACTTACAATTTTTTTCTTTCTTTCTTTCTTTCTCCTTGATATTATTTTTCTTTTTCATTTACTCCAAAATAATATCTTTTAGTAGCCATCCTTAACTGAGCCATGAAATAAACACGCATATAAGCCAATGTGTAACACTGCTAGTAATTTTTGTTAGTTGACGTTGAAATACACTTTCCAACTTCCAATATGATGATTTGTTCGTACTACTTATCCCAACTCCACTATCATTTTGCAGTGATTCTTGGGTTTCTAAACATAGAAGTGCTCCCCCCCCCACCATGCTGCTGCTACATTGGTGCCCACTGAGATTTTACTTTTCTGTCTGTACGCAAATATTGTCATTAACTAGATAATTACTTGTACTGCCTATCTTGCCTGTTTACCCTTTTCCTGAATTTTTGGAAATATTTTCTCAAATTCTATACTGCTATTAATAATTTCAATAACATGATAATTACAATGTCTATGATGATAATAACAGCATCAATATTGGAAGCATTGTAAAAAAAAAAAAAAAAAATCTAAAAAAAATTAAGAAAAGGTGATCTTGTCAGGTCAAGAGGTGTACCGACTCCTTGGTGGCTAAGCATTCGTGAGCCACCTATTTGTTGACATTTCACAAAATACTACAGTGAACACCAGATTTTTCCAGCATCATTGGGGTTAATTATCTTGGTATATAAAGAAAAAAACCAATTCCTCAGTTACTACAATCTATAGTAACACATGACCATAACATCTAAAATGCTTTCCACAAGAAGTTAAAATTCATAAAGAAAGAAAAAAAATGAAGTTCTCACATGTGTGGGCTGCACTCTACCAACATGGCTGGCAAGCAGAGTGTGACATTAAAAGTCACAAAAGCTGTTTTTCATTAATCAATATTACTTACCATTTTGTTTGTTTGTTTGTTTGAGGCACTCTAAATTATCTAGTTTCCAATTTCAATTTCATATCTCATTGATAAATGTTCCTTTTTTTCTATACATGTACGTATAGGTAAATACGCATTTACAGAAATACCCATGAATATATTAATGCACAAATGCATTTCTGGGAATAAAAAAGTCACAATAATCTTGTGAAACACTTTCATTCTTGCATTATTTGATAAAAGCCGCTGAAAGCATACAATGACTCATTATACAACCAATCCAACCTTTCTTATCCAATATAAAAACTGGATTCTGTTAATAGCTATATTAAAAGAAGCATTTGAAAAATAATATAAATTTATATATATAGTCTATACATAAAAAAAAAAATCACATTTTACCAAGGCAATTTTTTGGTTCTGTGGAAAAACATTGGTAAAATAATTTGAAAAATCATGAATAATCAATATTCACTTCTAATACATTCTGTTTTACTGCCAAATCTAACATTCCGTACAGTTTTCACTCACTGTGACTAGGTAACAGCCTCTCAAAGCACACCCTTAACCAACATTTGACTTATACCGTTAAAATAACCAACATTTGACTTCACTGGACACCATCAGATACGCAACACTGCGTATCCTTTAGAAACCTTTGAAATACTGTTGCTTTCTTGCCATTGGTGTAAACAACATTGTCACCTTATTGGTTAATTCAATTAGCACCACTGATGCTACCTTACACCTAAAGAGAAAAGATAAAAAAAAAATAATGTTCTACAGAAGACATTACTGGATATTTATTTTATAGAGGACTAGTTCTTTGGAGAATGTATAAAGAAACAAAAGCAAGTGTAAAAGTAAAATAAATAAATAAAAATGAACAAAAAAAGGAAAGAACAACAACTTGATTCGCTTTCCTTAAAACTACCTCAAAGCAACCCTTGATAATCATAACCCTTTACTTCCTAAGAAAGCTTGTGCTTAGTCACAGAAGTCAAATGTTGCATAACATTCTGCACTATCATAGCTTCAAAACTCACCTTTAGAAAATACACTAATATCTCACTACTGAATAAGATGAAGGCTTTTGTATAAACATGATTAGGCACCCTGAATTCCATCCGACATCTAAATAATAATAATATTTTGAATTACAAGATGTATAACTGCTTTATCATGCAATAACTCTTAAATAAGCTTAAACATTCCTTTCGCTATTCAAAACCAATATTAATCAAAATATACTCACAAAATCACAAACCAATATAGTGTTTTCTTAAGTGCATATAAAAACACAAGTCATATATGAAAAGAAATAATGATATATCATCATAACATTAGTATTCAACTCAACACTGCCTTGAGGGCTTTGGTTAAAAAAGAGAAAGTATTAAAAATATTTCAAAGTCAGACTCCGTGAGTAGAAAAAAAGGAAATAACCAATAGAAAAATAGAAAGGAACAGCCCATATACACTAGTCTTCTTTGTACACATATAAATCCTTCTCCTTAGCAGCTCTTCTCTTCATGATGTTTGCAATGATTGAGGGGGTGAAGGTGCGCAGCATGATAGCGAGCCGGTGTGAGAAGGGGGCCAGGAGAAGCTCTTCATAGCCACTGATGATGCACCCAACAATCTGCTCTGCCACATACTCTGGGCTCATACCATTTGCTGTGGTGCTATCCATGGCTGGGAGGGGAAAAGGGAATCAGATGAAATAAACTTTCATTAAAGTAGTAACTACAGAAGAGATATAAAATACATATTACTTAGTAAAAAAAATTAAAATAACAAGGCATTAAACCCTAAGCGCTGCAAAAACTTCAGCATACACATCTCCCTAGTCACAAAACATGTATGATTTTCTAATTTTCACTAAGGCTAACTTTACAGAGTGGAAAATCTATATTTCACTGCCATATCTCAAATACACATGTTAGCAGGGCATATATGAAAAAGTTATCACAGTTGCCCTTCATGTGTGATGAAAATGGGGGAGAAATTACTATGGATATGTATACAAAATACATAAAACCATTTATTTCTATCACATAAAACAATAAAATGTTTATTCAGATGTATAAATATTAAAGACATGATATACCTGGTGGTAACTCTATGATACATTGTTGGTGTATGTGGGAGGAGTAAGAGATCTTGGGTTTGGCCAGAGATACGGCATTTAGCGCCAGAATTACAACCTTATCCACACTAAAGGCGTGGTTCAACTGGCCTTGTGAATGCATAGGTCTGGCTGTAAGCACAGCCATCTGGGCCAAATTGCATCACTTAGGTGCGGAATCTGAGGGCTAAGGGGAGCCAGCGATAACCTGACCTAGACTGTTCTATTTCTTCGGTATCTCCAGGCTTTCCAGGGTGCAATTAAAAACTATTGTCTGTAATTTACTTATAAAAAACCATCAATATCTTTAAGTATCTATAAAGTCAACAAAAGTTAAATTACAGATTTTATATGAAATATGTAGTTTATCATAAAATTTGTTTTTTATTACCAAAAACTAATAAACAAGAAATGGCTAATTTGAAACTGAGGATCTACACTCCCGCCTGTAAGACTAGCGTTAATAATTTTGAATCAGTTATGTGCTGTCTAGTACTGGGGTGCTTTTCGTCTGGCTGGGCATTCGGACACAAGTCAGGTCCTGGGCAAAGACAAGGCCAGTTGAACCACGTTTTTAAGTTTTCTTCACAAGAAGCCAGAGGCAGGAAAATGTAATTTTCAATCCGGATGAAGGGGAACCACAACAGTAATTACACATTACTTATTCCAAGACAACAAAAAATCAAGTTTTCATCCACACACTAACAAGGTTTTCATTGTGTTTTCCTATCAAGTGATTGGTTATGGTTGCCTCCCTCACCTCCATAGGAAGAGCCGTCCCCAGTCACTGCATTTACAGACAGGTTGGTAGATATATATCCCGGGCTGATAACTGACACTCGGACATTTTTGTCAGCCACCTCAGCCCGGAGAGAGTCAAAGAAGCCTTGTACTGCATGTTTGGAGGCTGTGTAACATGACCTGCGAAGAAAATGAAGATTATATTTAGTTTGATTCTTGCTCTTTTTACAACGAAAGAGTTGATGTATAACACAAATGAAAATTATGCTTTTTGTATTTGTCATGGAGAAACTAGTCATTTGCCCAGGTGACCTGAGTTGCCATTGTACTGAAAATATATACATGCTGCCTGGCGTTGAAGAACCACCTAAGTACATTTTACCTTTGATTACTCTCTACTTTCTGCACATATGAGCCAATGGAAATATCATTTTGTACAACTGTTAATGCACTTATACTTTTTACATTTCTGGCTCACTATTATAATGAATATAGCTGATATACATAACAGAAATCTTGAGGATGCACACTACTACCCAGCATCGAGCGGCAAGAAATTACAAGTGCCCTCACCTGAATGACAAATTACCCAAAAAGGAATGGATAAAAAATAATAATAAAAGCAAAGGAGTAACTGAAATTCCAACTGAGCAGAAGGATGCAAATTAGATATAAGTATCTCTGAAAGACACCTAGAATACGTAACTTTGTGACCAAGTAGAAATTTTGCTTGTCATACAGCCATGATTCCTCAAAGGCAGTTTCTACATCACTGGGCAGCTTAAACATGCGTGGAGCATAATTTAAATCTAGTTACTCAGAAAATTTATTCACCTATGAGGTGAAATCTGAGGACAGTGAATATTGACAAATCTTTTGCATAGAATAAATAAATAAACTATCAAAAATGATCATGCGAAGAATAAATATATATTGGAAAATTATCAATCTCCTTAGTTATCATACCAAATTGAATGTAGTCTTGCAATTACAAAATAAGCAAATTAGAAAGTCTAGTAACGAATCTCCAGTCCTTTGACTTAATTTTTGAAATGCACTTTACATAAACACATTTTGAATTTTTCAGAAGCGTTTGCTGATATTCACAAAGCATTTTAAGAGTCTACAATTCATATTTCAGATAAAAATCAAATTATATTACTTTTGTGACATTTACTGGTAGAGACACCAATACGCTGTGTGATTCTCTATAGAGTATCAAATCAAATGATCGTGCTTTTTATCACCAAAGCTTCCATATCTTCTGGTTCTCTACTGGTGTTTGGAAAATTCATACATCATATTTTCAGTCCAACATTCTTTTTATATATGAATTGTAAACATTACTTTGATCTACCAAATAATGTAATATGCTTATTTCAGCTAAGCATTTACTTCCTGCAATGGACAAGAAGTACAATGCACCTCTATCAAACCATTATCATGTATGTATTCTAATCTGCTTTGGCTGATATTCTCTATGAGATCCACCCTGACAACTTAATAGTAAGACCAATGAAAAAACATGAATACTTAATCATCAAGATGGGTAAATCTTGTGCATAAATCAAAAAAGCTTCATAAAGTTTTGAAATAGCACACTTTATTTAACACAGATCTTAAGAATGCAAAGCAAAAGCACCAGATTTCACAGCTTTAAACTTGCCTGTAAGGAATGGCCAGTTTGCCCTGGACGCTGCTGATGGCCAAGATGTGCCCAGCCTTCCTGGCCAACATGCTAGGAAGGATAGCTGTGGAATAGAAAGTTTCCTTATAAATAAAAATATTACATAATAACATAGGGGAAATAGATATATTCATGCAATAATTACAAGATCCTTATCCTTCACACTCTCCCTTACCTTCTCTCTTACCCAATCCCTTCTCTTTCTCTTTCTCCTTCTCCCTCTACTTACTTCCTCTCCCTCACTATCCCTTTTCCTTCTTCTCCTCCTCTAATGTTATTTCCCTCTCCTCCTTCTTCTCCTTCTACCTCTACCTCTACTTCTACTTCTACCTCTCCCTCTCCCACTCCCCAGCTCCCTCCTTTTCTCTCTTCCTCCACCCCCACTGCCACACTGCTTGCTCTCCCTCTCCCTCTCCCTGCTCACTCTCCACTCCTCCCTCCCACTTTCCTCCTTCTCCCTCTCTTTCCTTCTCCTTCTCCCTCTCTTTCCTTCTCCCTTCCTTTCCTTTCCCTCTCTCTTTTTTTTTCTCTCTCTTTCTTTTTCTTTTTCTTTTTTCATTTTTAATTTTTTTTTCTTCTTCTTCTTCTTCGATCCCACTCCTTTTCATCCCACTCCCACTCTCTTTTTCTCTTTTCATCCCTCCCAACTGTCCCTTTCTCTTTGGTCAGAGCCACTTGTCCAAAATAGTTCACCACCATCAGTTTGATGTCCTAAACCGCCGCCCTCGGTAGGACCCCAACTACCTGGTCTTGGATCTCAACGCTAACTTCCGTGTTGGACATGGGGGATGGCTCTTGAGGTCCTCGGTGGGGATGCTGTTGAGGTCCTCCAGGTCTAGCTTGACCACCGTGGGGACGTGGAGCTCCGGAGGCTGTATGGTAGGGGAAACAACATGAAGGTGAGATGGTTTCCGTGCAGACAGCTTCCGAGAGGTGGGAATGCAGAGTCAGAGAAATGGGGGGAAAAAAAATACAGATAGAAATGGGGAAGATGAACAGTAAAGGAAAAGACAAAAAATATCAAGACAGAAAAGGAGGCATAGTTGGGACGTAAAATGTAACAGACCAAAAGATTGGTTTGTTTTCTTTGCTCAGCCAGAGCTAAAAATGGTAATATGTTGTTTGACATCAATCTGTAATGATGATAGTTTCTTTCTTCCCTTTCTGTATCATCTTGTCTTATCATTCAAAAAGAGAAAAGAACATATATATCATTAACCCTTTATTGATGGGCACACCTATAGCCGTCATGACACAATGGCGTATGACATGTATACACGTCATCACACTCTGGCGAGCGAGGGGGTCGACCATCTGTACAAAAGCACAGGCCCAGCCAGAGAGAATTGACTGTTGCATAATGATCATGTCACAGAAAATTCTGGCACTGTCATTGTTCGGATATCATTTAATAATTCATTATTAAATGCATAACAGCTAAAAGGACAAGAAGAAAGGGAAATAATAATAATAACACACAGCTAAAACATAACTTCTCCAGAATCTACAAAACAAAATCTTGAAATGAAATCAATCAATCAGTCAAACATCATTACCTTGTACGTTGCCAAGAGGGTTTCCTTCAGTTCGTTCAATTTCTCTGTGTTCCGAGAAGCCAAAATGAGCCTGGCACCTCTCTTGTACAGTGCATGGGCAAGGGCCTCACCAAGACCAGAACTTGCCCCGGTCACCAATACAACCTGTGTGTAAACATAAATAATTTTTTTCCTTTTTTTTCTTTTTTTTTGAATGCTTTAATGTTGATTATTCTAAGCACAAACGGTAATCCTCTTCTTTAAAAAAATGAAAGTAGAAATTTTGTACGATCAGCTAAATATACATAACTATTACAACAGAAGCAATTACCTCTTTTTCAAAATCAATCCTAATGGCTGATAATGAAACTTACAAAATACTAATTTATAATATTACCAATCACAGCCTACCCCTCCCTTAAAAAAAAGAAAAAAAACAGATCAGAAACTATGAAACTATGGACTATGAAACATCAAATCATAAAGTATTATTTTTCTACTCTCATTACCTTTCCACAGAGGGCTTTGTCACTGAAAAATGCACGTGCAAGAATTCCATAAAGCAATCTGTATGCCATCTTGACAGCCACGACTGGGCCCATGACTGTCAAGGTCGCCCAACCTGTCAAAAAAATTAATGGAAATAATAAAATAAAAGCTGGATCAGCTATCTGGAATGTATAAATGTTTTGCCAATCATCCTGAATCTTGAAGAACAAAATAAAGCAACAAGTCTCTTTTTAATACAACTTTTCCCCCCCCCAAAATCATCCATATTACAAATACTCAAATCAGAACTGTTGTGCATGAAAGGAGACCAAAAGAGCAGATTTCCCCCATGCCTCTGACCCCTGCCACTTTCTTCAAATTAGTGTAAAAGTGCTGTTTATTCTGTACGTGGCTTTCTAAGTATTCATGTACGTCAAACATTCGTCTTGCAGTTTCTATTCAGCAAAATTCCTTTGAGGCAGAGAGTAACCTGTGACAATGAAAAAAAGAAGAGAAAAGAAAGATTGTACATCAGTAAGAAAGAAGGAAAAATGAAAGAAAGAGGAAGAAACACAGAAAGAAGTCAGGAAAAAAAGGAAAAGAGAAAAAGAAACAAAGACAGAAGGAAAGAATAGGAAAAAAAACAAGAAACTGAAATAATTCATCCTCCATTTCACATCATTCATGGCAAATATGAAAATCACATAAACAAAAACAGAAGTACTTAACAAAAAGGACACACCTCACAGTCAACAAAATAAGACACATCAAATAAACTTCCCACGCAAAAAGATCAGTTTCATTTCTGAGCAGACACTTGATAAGAAATAATCCACAAACACATTCCATATCCATTTAAAATAACCATTAAATAGGGTCCTATACCATCTCCAACTGCCTTCTGCAGCGACGAAGTGTTAATCCTGAGGTAAGTTGAGCCAAGAGGATCCATGGTGTCGTTCGTATAACCGCTCGTTCTAAACTAAGCCCTTGCTACCTCACCACTCCCTTAAGTATGTTGGGTCTATTGCACAATATCTGCAGATGTTAAACTTGGCTTTTAAACTCACCGAGGACTCTTTGGACTCTTTCAATTATGTTTCTCCATATATAAATATTACTTCTTCCTCTGTTTTATGATACATGGAATGAAAAGTCAGAGTTCAGACTACAGTACAAAGTAACGTGAAAAGTAATATAGCGACATTTACTAACCGTGAAAAAAAAAAAAAAAAAAAAAAATGGAAGGATGACCTCACTCTTGGTAATGCTCCAGAGGAATGACGAGCGCTTTCTATTCACACGAACATGAGCTTTTTCAGAGTGTGGGAATAACATCTAAAAAATTTCAGCATTGCTCACCTATTTCAAGCCCTTGAATTTACATGTCTGCAATAGGGTCAATCCCTCCTTGGCAACCAACCCACATAAATTGCTCCTGCTTATA